CACCATGAGAACGGGCTTCCCACCGACCTTTTGAAAGTTCGCGCCATGCGCGCTTAGAATATGGTCTTTGTAACACGATGCCCTCGACCCACTCCCTGAGTCGAGGGACTGCGTTCGGGACCCGAGCGACAGCTGTACCACCACCAAGCACCAATAAGAAGGAAAGAAAAAGAAGAGTAAAATAAAATTTTGAAAACGATTTTTTACTTACGTTTTATGTTCCACTTCTCAGGGAACGGCATGCGCTCAGCTGGGATCAAGTCTGAGGTCCTCACTCGGACAAAACGGCCTAGCCAACTTCGATCCGGATCTTCATCGATACTCGAGAATGGGGCTTTACTAGCCCGACGCGCAAGCTTGATCAGTCCCCCCTCCCGAAAGAGTCGGGGACTACATAGGCGCATGAGGTGGTCGATGGTGAACGAGAATCCATCGATCTTGCTCACGAAGAACCTAAAAAGTATCACGATCCTCTAGAATGAAGGGTGAATTCTACCGAGGCATACCTCATATCTTTTGCAGAAGTCGACGATTACCGGATCCAATGGGCCCATCGTAAAGAGATAAGTGTAAACACTTAAATATCCCTCGACGTGGGTGGTGATATCTTCATCGGGTCTGGGAACCACCACGTGCTTGTCAACCCAGTTGCAATCCTTTTTGACCAAGGGGAGGACTTCTTCAGTGATCGAGCATGCGTATCTCGAGACTTTCTCACACCGGCCGGGTACGGAGGGAGGTTTTTCACCCTTGAAATTGGCGGTTACCGAGCATCCACCAGGGATGAACGTGTTCAAAGGGGGTTCAGCTACTGGTTCCTCGACAGTAGTACGCGGAACGGTTTCCTCAACCAGCCGCGATGTAGAAGGAGTTTCTTTTTGGGGAACTATTTTTGAAGTCTTCGCCATAATAAATGAAGAATGGGGTACTTATAGTTTTTCAAACGACGGTTTGCATCCAGAAGTGGCCGACCGGCAACTGACAAGCATTTAATGCCATTAAGGCTTGACTGACGAGACGTTTCATTCATTTTGTTGTTTCTGACGCAAGGTATCGAAATCAGAATCGGAAGCTCATGTCGTTTCTCGCCGTCTACTCTCCGAAAAACGAGGGGACTATCTGTATACGGGCAAAATCGATCTCGTAGTACATGCCGATCTCTGACATGTTAGGCCAAGCTCGAGATAAGGTAACCAGGGGCCTAGACCGAGGTATGGATCTCATTGATTATGAGTCCAGACCATAACATCCGCCCTCGAGGGTATCAAGGACATGATTCGGATCGGTTCTAGCCTTGATTAACTTCGAAGAACGTTGCCCGGTAGTCAGGCTCGGCCAACAGAAGGCCGTGATATCCGTAACTGACCGAATATCACGGCGGAGATCTCGGCATATGTCGACGTGAGATTAGCAATCAGTTAATTAGGGAATGTTTACCTTTTATATAGTTGTACCTAATATAGGACTCCCCTACTATATAACGGGGGATCTGATTACTTGTAAAATACATTGTAACATGCGCTCAGAAGCAATACATTGTTATTTTTCTCTTTAAGCTCTTATTCAACTATGTCTTGATACCGATCGAAGTGCATCCTGTTCAAGGGTGGCTAATCCCCCAAGGCCGTAACGTCTCAATATGCGCTGTTTGAATTTAATTTATCATTGTTTATTTCAATTGCAATTTAATTTATCATTTTGTGTCAATTTAATCCACGTATCCTTAAAATCACTTACAAATTTTATATATATATATATATATATATATATATATATATAAAGGAAGGAGTAGTGAAAGAAACAAACATCGGTTTCACAAATCTGACGGTAGTATCTTGAATATATTTCTTGAAATAGACGGCGATGCTCCTTTGAAGCGCCTTTGGGCATAAAAGCATCGTCATCCCATATATGCTCATCATCCAAGTATCTACGGGGAAGCTCCCGTTGCTCTTCGGCCATTTCGAACAAAACCCTAGTACCAACTTCACATCTCTCGATCTTTTATACTATGCCTTTTCTTAAATTTCGGGTTCATGATACTTTCTTTGCCTGTGTCGTCCTTATATTTCACTTTATTACCTTCTTTGGCCCAATATGTTTTGTCTCTTTACCCTCCCTCACCTTCGAGAGTAATAACTTTATTTTTCTCACCAAGTAAAATGATCCAAAGTGAATTAGTGGAAACTAGACTCGCCATGTAGGATCATTAATGACGACACTTACAACTAGTGGCAGACTCAGCATTTTGTGCAAGCGGATTCAAGAAGTACATAACTTTAGTCGTAAAACAATAGTTGTCAAGTGGTTTCAAATAAAATATTTATACAAAATTTATGCAACTTTAATCGAAATTTATACATATACACAGTATTATTTTTTGATGAAGCGGCTTCAGTTGAACCTGTTTGCTTCCACATGCGTCCGCCACTCACTGCCTACACCTGATGTCAAAGTGAAGAGTAACATTTAAAGATGATACGTAAAATAGCTTCGGAGTCAAATAAACTCGTACTATGCCTATTAGTGTCGGAGCCAAGCATAAGAGAATGGCTCCGAGTCTGATAGAGAAGGTCATTAATAGGCATAAATAAGAGGAGAATCAATCAATACTAGATTATAATAGATTTGTCATCATCACTCTTAGTTTTTCCAAAAACAAGTTCAAACAATATGTAACATTTTCGAATTCTTAATTAGATTACTTAACAACCATAATTTTCATAAGATATTCCAGAAAATATGATGTTCTTGTTGAAACTATGAAGTCGAGAAGATAAAATTATAGAAGTGAAATTTATTTTAAGTTGAATATATGGAATGATGATTGAAGATTTCGATAGGGAAGAGTTTCATAATTTATTGATTTACAAGATCAATATTTATCAATTTCAAAAACTTAATTTTTTTATTTTGTGAGTCAACCATAGTTTTTAATATAATATTAATGAAATTTTTTACATATTGTTTTACATATAGTTTTTAAATTTTACATATAATCAAAATAGGGTAGACGCNTTATAAATTTGATCTTGTTATACTGTATAATTTTCCTTTTCAAAAGAATTCCTTGCGCCTCCTAGCTCAACAACAACGACCCAGTAAAATTCCATAAATGAAGTCTGAAAAGGATAGAGTGTACGCATACCTTACCCCTACCCGGAGGAGTTGAGAGGCAATTGCGCCTCCTAGCTCCCCTCATCTATTTAAATCAAATATTTGACGGCCACATGCTCTATTAATTTAGATTCATGCCACTTAGACCTACTAAAAAAGTAAGACACTTTCTAAAAAAAATATACGTATGTATTTTATTTTCTAAGTTTCGAGCCCGAAACCTTTGATAAAGTAAGAAAGATCCCAAGAATGTTACTGCACCCCTCAATTGTTTCCTCATCCTTATCACATGAATAGGTAACTATTTAATAACTCATGTCTTATACTAAAATTTGTATTGATACTATATATTTTGATGATAATTAGTTCTAAAAATAGTCTGATCTTTTCCTATATGAAGGGAAACATAAGAATAGATTGGTTAAGGTATGGCAGGCAAAAGGATATGCCGGGGGGGAGGAGGGGGGGGGGGGGGTCACTCTGGAATAGAGTTACATTGACTAGGGGTAAGGACAAAAATTAGAATCTTGTTCCCAATATGAAGTTTGAGGTCTACAATCTCATGGTAGATTCTTACCCCTGTTATTGGAATGTCAATTCCTTTCTTAACACAGATGACAACCTCTCAACCTTCAAAAAAAAAACCGTACATAATATTTACACCAAACTAATGAATGAATGATACATCCTTTTATCGTATTTTCCATCAATTTATCACTTAACTATCGTGAACTGATATAATTTAATGTAAACACCAAGTCTGATTAAGTTTCTTTCATCTTTCTCCTGGATAAACAAAAGAAGGCCTCTATCAGTCAAATTAGTAAAATGTCTATTACCAAGTTGGACAGATTCCTTGACACAGCCTTATTATAGGTAAGGGAATAAGTTTTGCAAGTTGTTTTAAATGCAATCTAGAAGGGTTGTGCAGTGCACAAAGCATTCCGTATTCACACGGGGTCTGGAAAGGGATGTAGACAACCTACTATAATACAAACATTAGTTGTTGCTTCCACGGTTCGAACGCGTGACCTATAAGTCACAGAGACAACTTTACCATTGCTCCAAGGCTCCCCTTTCGCAATCTTGAAGGGCTGCAATATCACTAAAACAAAGAAAATTGATTCCCATGACACTTCTCATCAAGAACCAAAGTGCAGAATAGGGCTCTTTTTTGATGATGTGGAACTGAGGGATTGGTCACTTTTTGTCACCCAAATTAGAATATGAAGCCTTTATGAGCAGCATCCAGATCCATCAGCAGAAAGGCATTTTTGTGGGTGAATAAATTAAAAGAGAAAGAACAAGGCAAGGAAGGCATAAAGGGTACACTCCATTATCAATTTCAAGATTCCCTATAGTCAATTCTTGATGCTCCCCTTTGGTATTGAACTGTACAAAAGGATCAATACTGATATTTGCAATCAATAATAATTTTTGCAGATAAGGAGCATCTGAACATACTTTTCACTAGCATCAACATCAGATGCTGGTTGAAGCGATCGCTCCGAATCAGTAGTGAAACCAGAAATTTTCTCAAGGACGTTCAAATTTGAAAGAAGAAAAAAAAACCCAACAAAGGGTGTTCAATATATGTTATGTATCTCTAAAACCTGATATTTTACCTATATACGCAGTGTAATTTTCCGACAAAGGATGGTTAGTTGACCGCCTTACCAAAGTGTAGCTTCGCCCCTGCACCGAATTCCCCATATTTCAAAAGTTTTCATTCTATAAACAAATGATAAGTTTCTTAAGTGTGTGTCATCAAGCAGCAACTTTTCTATTTGGTCAGGTGGATGAATGTAAATTAGGAAGAACATGGCACGAAACGAAGGTTGCACAGCAAAATTTAGGCTACTTTCACCAAATTTAACATGGAGTGGAACAAATGAAGCTCTAAAATGGTCGCCCTTCAACATCTATATTCTCAACAACAATGGCTAGTTCAAAATTCAACTTTATTTACAGTGAGTAGGCAAGAAGCTTAGACCGCGCTTTCCTTGAAATAGTCAAATAGGACTTAGATCTAAAGAATGAAAAGGAACAATATGATTCCTATTGTTAGCCAAAACTGAGCAAACAGATCATGCTGGTGTTGCTGTCTTGCCTTCTTTAACATAAGGATGTCTGAGATTGAACATACCAGCAAGTCCCTTTTCCCTTGCTAGCTGTTCTAGTTCTTGAATTTTGCTTTTGACGCCCTCCATCTCCTTTTCCAATGCTTCATCTCGTTGCCTCAATTTCTGAAATACACCAGTTTGAACTAAGACATAATTTGAACACACATCCAGGAATAATCGTTTGCAGGTTCTTATCTGAAATAAGAATTTTTTTGAATTTCCACTTAAGTAGAACGTAAAGCGAACATAGTTCTATTGAATACCACCCCTCGAAAATTTGTGGAGATAAATCAACAGACTAATGCACGTTGTCGTCATCCAAGACAATCAGATTTAGATAGAATTTAAAACACAAAAAAGGAGAGGTGACAAAGTACATACAACAACAACAACAACGACGACGACGACCTAGTAAAATCCCACAAGTGGAGTCTGGAGAGGTGACAAAGTGAATATTTTGGATAATAGATAAAGCATACTAAAGAGTTTGCCAAGACAAGAATAAGAAGAATACGAGAGGACTACCTCCATTTCTTGCCTACGAAGTTCCTCCTTCTTAGCCTCTGACCGAGCACTTCTCTGCACCTCAAATGCAAGAGCAGCAACTGCGACCTGTTCACCAAATTGCAAAAGTTGCACAAAGATTAGAAGATGCACTAGAAGTAGATGGAAGGCAGGTCACATTTCAAGGGTTAAAGTTGGCTACAAGTCTCAAGAGATTGAAGACATAGAAATGATGCCCTTAGAGATTGGTCATGTGTGTGGTTGGATGCCCTGAACAGAAATAGACAAAGAAAATGCAACCTCCTAGTCATAAGGTGGCAACTATTACCCTTGTGCCAAATCTTACTGTGCCAGCAAGTACAAGACATCACAATTGTCAGGACTTGCGGCTTATTCTTTTCAAGAACTTAATGCGGTCATTGAACAAATATTTTTTGAGTAAGCAAGTAGATAAATGTGATCGTCCATTAAAATGTTAATACATCAGAAAACACCCAAAACCAATCCTAAAAACTTCCCAAGCCTTCTCTTATCTTCCTCCACTGACATATATTTGGCTACTACACTATCAGATTGTCAAATGTCTATTGCATATGCTATTTTGGAATTAAAGGAGTTCTCTGTCAAAGGGCCTTTCAATAGCTTTATCCATAAAAAAATAAATGTTGCAAGAACGCAATGTAGAGAATCTAAATATTGTCAAATGCATGAAATAGCAGAGGCAACTCTGACCTTCAAACCCGTATTGCCATCACAGGTTGCTGAGACTTTAATTTCTTCGAAGCAAATTAGCCAAAGCAATAATTCTATAATTATCAAGACTCAGATATTGTGCACATGCATGAAGTTTGCTATGTATATTGAGATATGAGAATTTCCTAAACAAGGTGGTACTTGTCTCTTGGCTCTTTGTGCCTTCTTTACTAGCAGCTGGCGTTCTGGTAGAATCAACATTGGGAAGTTGTACAGAGAAAGATTTAGAAGTCCTGTTGGTCTAGGCAAGTCGCACACATCAATGGAAGACAAGTGCTATAAGCCTGTGTATTATGTGTCAGCGGACTTCTACAGAGAAGGATTTAGTGGTTGTATTGGACTAGGCTATTCTCGCACTTATGGCAGATAAATGTTAATGATCATGGACTTTGAGACTTAAGTGGATTATAAAAAATAAAAAAATAAAAAAATCAAATGAATGCTAGTGGAAATCATGGATTTTTCCTTAATTGACAAAGATAACATAACATGTTCCTTTTTTTCTTTTTGGGGTAACTAGGGAGAACATATCAAGTTTTACATGCTTAAAATTTGTATCATTCGATGCTTAGCAAAGCTTGTCTGCGCTCTCACAACAATTAACACATGTAATAGATAAGAATCAGGATAGCTAACTTTGCAAATATTATTGCAAAAATCGAGTGGGAAAATAAACAATACCGAGAAAACAAAAAATTCCCCCAGAAGATCAACAGCTGCTTGAACCGCTTTCTCTTCATTCAAAGGTCGTATTCCAACATCAGTTGCATGGCCATAAAGCCGTCTTTGCATGGTTGTTGTCATTCGGTGATTCGCCTGGTTTCAGCAATGGATGTAATGAAAAAAATGATCTATATTAGGAGAAACTCTTAACAAGTCAAAGTAAAAGCAGAAGTGGAGAATAACTTTCTGAAAGAGTGAAGGCTACTGGAGTATTCACATCTGAAACAAGATATGGGCATGTATTGAAACATATCTAGAAAATATTCAGAGAGTGATGCAAGAGTGCATGTAAACAATTGCAGACAAACTCATAAACAATAATACAAGCCAGAATTAACCACAAATATGAGATTTATTCAGTATAATCATCTAAGACATAAGAGTCCCTTAATGGAGATACCGCTAGCACCTTTGGACACACAATAGTCTTCAAACATGACCATCACACTTGTGATGTCAAACCACGCATCTGCTAGTCACAGTTTGTTATCAATATGTTAATACATTCTTGTCAATGTCTAAATCACATTTTGTTTTTACATTTTATTCCATATAAAATTTGTAGCAGTCAATTGTAAGTATGTTATAAGAAGTGGGTAGTCTTTCTAACAGAGCAATCATGCCCTTGCACAACAATGAAATTTGCACTCTTGCAGCGACTTATTGCAATTTTATGTCTCTATACTACTAACACTTGAGCAGAGACTTGCCAACATTTGAAAATCAGCACATCTATGTTCTTGTCAATTTGAGACCATTTCTCAATGTACGGCTCCAGCAAAGAGCAGCCACCCAGCTTTAGGAAATGGACACACTCTTCTAAACTAGCACTTGTATCCAGTAATCGTACTATCAAATTAAAAAACGAGGAACTTATACCCTCTCCAAAAATCCCTTTCATTATGCAACTTGACTCATAGCTACACAGGGAGGTTATGATGACAGGGAACAAAAATATCCTCTTGGTTGACCTGTGCAAGAAAATCTTCCAAGTATTGATACATTGAGCCCTCTAAAACAATCCAATCTTTTTTTCTTTGCTTTTGCGCAACTCGAGTATTCCACCCAGTTACCTGCTATCTCCTACCAACATAGGAAATAAAATGATCCAACCTTTTGGCAAAGCCAAATGTGGATCACAACCAACAAAAGGTGGTAAAGTCCCCCAACAATTCTTCTACAAATAATTGCATGTCACATTGGAACAAAACTAGAATCGACAAGTTCTCACCAATTTAACAGCAAATTCCATAATTCTTCGACATTTTGTTTTTTTATTTGTTTCCCACCCGGTGTTTGGTACCTGCTTTGGGGGCAGACTACTCCAGATTCGTGGTAGGAAGTACCAATTTGGCGATAAAGCACTCCCAACCAAAAGTGACTCATTTTTCATGGCTCGCACCCGAGACATGTGGTCTACATTTTGAGCTCTTTTAAAATATACAATTCCTTGATTGGTGAGCAACTCAAGACCAACCAAGACAAAGACCACAAGAATGTAATTGGACAAACCAGAATTGGAATTACGATAAGACAAAATAAAATTAACATACAATCATCGACTCAACTCCTCCTATTTGAGTGTCGCAAACCACAATTGACCCAAGACTGGCGAAAGAACATTATGGGTTCGACTTCGTGATTCTACCATTTGCCCATTTAATTTAATTAGGTTTGAAATTTTATTATTTGCTTATTTAGTGCATTTTTAATATTTAAAGCTATTGGGTTCGGATAAACCTGATACAACCTAAGGAGAACCACACCCCAAAAGCTAGCTATTGAGGAGCGAGAGCTATATAAACCCCACACTGGACACATTGTAATACCGATATGGTACTCGAGTCTCATACCTTGCAATGGACCATAACAGAACCCACCCTAAGAACAAGGATTGTGATAGGTTACTTTTAAAATGGTTTAATGATGATTGAATCAAAATAATTCATATAATCGACATCATCTAGTTTGAAATTTACATGATTCATCCAGTCATCAACCCAACAAAAATACAGTAACACGAATAACAAAGATAAACAAAACTCGAATCATAACAGGAAAGAAAAATAAAACATTTACAGTAACATAATAATATAATTGAAGGGTTTATAAAATATTGGGATTAATAATACCTGAGCCATGCTGATGATCAAATGACGGAACTTGGGGTGCAAGCCAGCTTCTTTCTTGAGCCTAGCTGCAATGGGTTTGCTTAAAGTCTTTAAAGCAAGTGTCCCTAACTTCATTAATGGGAGAACCATCACTTTATGTTTTTGTGTTCTCTGCTTTGTTACTGTCCCACTAATTTTAATGACATCAATTAGAGGTAAAGACTATCATTTCGAAGAAAATTTTTTGTATTTATATCTGATTATTTGTTTGTTGAGAACCAAGATATTGACCAAAGAACCGGAAGGTTCATTTTCTTGATGAAGAAGCTAAATGCTTGGAAGGTTTCTTTTTTCTTTTTTCACCAACTTGGGCGGAAGGTTAGTTGTGGAAATTCGAAAATGGTTTCGGGGCAGTTGTAAATTGTAAAAGGAAGTTAGGAGGAAATGCATTAATATTAGGGTCAAATTAATTAATGGTTTGTTTGGCCAAATTGTAAAAATAGCTTATTTTGAGAAATGTTTTTTTTTCAAAAGTACTTTTGGTTTGTAAACGTGTTTGACTAATTTATTTGAAAAATACTTCTGAGCACCAATTAGTGTTTGACCAAACTTTTAAAAACTGCTTCTAAGTATATTTTTCTCAGAAGTTCTTTTCAAAAAAGTGTCTTTAGAGAAAAGTTATTTTTTTCTGCTTCTCCAAAACTGCTTCTGTTTCTACTCAAAAGCACTTTTTTTCCTCTAAAAACTTGGCCAAACACTTCAACTTTGAAAAAAAAACTTTTGTTTTGAAGAAAAAAGTTCTTTTGGCTTGAAAAAGCTTGGCCAAACAGGTTATAATACTCGTTTCGATTTAATTTATGTGAATGTATTTGACTGCTGAAATTGAAGAAATAAAAGAAGATTTTATAATTTTGTGGTCTAAAATAAATCGTCGAAATTTGTATGACTAAAAATCATCTCATTAAGAGGTAAAAAGGGAGATTTAAAGTTAAATTGCTAATGAATGTAAAAATGTATAATTCTTTTTTGAACTCACTAAAAAAAAAGTGTCAAATAAATTGGTATAAATTAAATAATAATTTTAGTTCCTTGGTTATTGGTGGATTTTGATTTTAGTCCTTGTGATATCTGATTAAGCATATTTAACCTTTAATTAATTGAAATGTATACTTTTGGTCCCTTTGCTTGTGAATATTTATTTATTTATATATAGAAAATGAAAGATGGTCAACCAATGGCATATATATCATTTTGAAAAAAATTATTGTATTGTTTGCATTTCTTAAATGCAAATTGTGTCCTTCTTGATATACGTGGACCCCACATTTCCTTGACCACAACACTCCTTTAAAAGTTTAAATGAATTGTTGATTAGACTACTTTTGCAGAGTCACTCCATGCAGATACTCATTTCGAATGTTTTTTTCATTTGATAAAATTATTAATTTTTGTTTCAATCAACTAAAAGTTTTCACAGAAAAAGTAAATTTAATTTTTAAATAATAAAGCAACAAAAATAAATATAGATAAATATTTTCATATTTACCCATACTATCTTAACACAATTTAAAAAATAAAATTAAAGGTTTTCATGTATTCACAGTATTTGAAGGCGATTTAAAACCTAAAAGTTTTATATTCAAAAGTAATTTACAAAACAATAATTTGTTAAACCTTAAAGTTAATTTAAGTGATGATATTTGTTCATCTATTCTAGGAGGTTATCTCTTATGTACTTAATTGATGTGAAAATTTGATTTATATGGTTTGAACTCCATTCTTCCATGATAAGTTTTCAACAATCTATAAATTGTCTTAAAATATTTTATATTATTTCATTATAAAAATTAACATATGATAAATCTATAAAAAAAAAATCTCTTATATCCTTAATTAAGAAAAAATTAAAACCCTATAATTAAAAATTCAAATATAGTGGGAAAATAATACCATTCAATCAATTTTACAATTTGATATTTATATTTGACATTGATGTTAAAAGTTAATAATTGGAGCAACTTAAGCAGGTTATAATTTATAATTTAATTTTTTATAAATTATTAAAATAAATTAATTGTAAATTGTGATCCCCAATTGACGAGGCCAAAGTGGATAGGATTTTCCTGCTCGTGCTTTGTCAAATTCTAGTATAGTTTATGATATCGTCCCACAGAGATTGGAACATCTATCCTACAGACCCTTAATATTTCAACTACTATTTGAGAGAATTAGATTGATGAATAGTTTGTGGAATTAAAACTTGTTAAATACATAACAAGATTAAACAACTTCGAAAGATTTGTAATTAAAAAAAAAGAGTTGGGAATCGTTGAATTCACTTGATAATATATTATAATAAAATCTCACTTTGTACAAGTATTTCTCTAAAGGATAATTGCTTATTGCTAATACAATTATATCTTATCTCACCAAGAATTAATCAACTAATAACACTCCGTGAGGTTATGTAATTAATTGAGTTAAAACTGGTGACAGTTAAACTGAAATATTTTTCTTGCTTGAATTGTGCTAAGAGGTAGTAAAAACTTCGTGAGAATATTTTTACTAAAAAAAATCAATAATCTTGCCTACAACAATTCCTCCGTGAGAATTAAAACTGAGTCAAGCAAAATTACCGACTTTTAATAATAGCTTGCTAACAATTGCTCTCACTTTACTATTTTATTCAATAGTTACTATATATTAATTTTGCTCCGTGAAAATTATAACATTAATATGATAGTAACTTAACGATAAAATATATAGAAGTGATAACAATGATTAGGTAAAAACTATTATTATAGCACAACATAAAATATAAATAGAAAGATTCAAGACAAGGATGTATTAAACTGAGATAATTTTATAATATATATATCAAGCTTCATCAACTATCCCAACAAAAGAAGTTTACTCCATTACGAAGTAAGAAACTAATTTAGGAATAAAGAACTTATGAAGAAATATTATTCTTCTCAAACAAAGACAACAAGTAGTAAATACTAAAGACAAAGAGAGACCAAGAATAGTTCTTCTCTGCTCAAGACTCGATGTCTTCTTTCCAACATGCACTCTCTATTTATAGAGGTTTTTTGGCTTAAGATTCTCCATAGTTGCAACTATGAAATTGTAGTTGCAACTATGGAAATTGTAGTTGCAACTATGGTCTTATCAATTGGACTTCCTTTTGCAGAGAAAGGCTATAGTTTCAACTATAGTTCTCTAGTTGCAACTATGGTGATTTCCTTCATGATTCCCAATTGCTATCGTCGCAACTATGGTGCTTTAGTCCATTTGCTTCTTCATTCCCAGTTGACTACTCAATTTCCACTTTTTTTTTTTGCTTCTTTTCTTTGATTTTCATATGCTCTTTCTCCTGCAAAGTATGTTAGAAAATATGGAAGAATATGATATATATATTCATGTTTTATTTAAAATATTTGATATTTACATATAAAAATATATGAATAAATTATATTCATCAAATTCCCCCACACTTGAATCTTTGCTCGTCCTCGAGGAAAAAAAACATTTCTAATGATAATATATATACATACACTTTTTTTTTTGTAACATTTTCTTCAAAACGTTTGGTCTTTGTAGGATAGAAAATTTATTCAAAATAACTTCTTCCATCATGCCAAATGATTAATCTTTTAAACTTCACCAAATCTTTTTCCTTGCTTCTGATTTCATTTTTGAAAAGAACAAAATTTATTCTTTTTCTCTTGAATCTTTCGGAATTGATGACTTTATTATCACAAGTTTTGAATATCACAATTCTTCTTCCATAGGCTTGCTCTTCATGTTAATCTACACTAATATAGATTCAACACTGAGTTTTGAAATCTATTTAGGACTTTTTCTTGGCTTATAATGTCAGGCTTCAGGCTGGTAGGATAAAGATATTTTTGTAGTGACTTTTCTTCTTCCAACTTGGAGCAAATGTTCCTTGATACTAATTATTCCATTTTTTTTTCTTTTTCTTTTTTTTTGTTTGTGTATATGCTTTCATCAACATAAAGAGATATAAGAATATATACACACTTATACATTATATCTCTCTTTTTTCTTCTTCTTTTTTCGTGCCTTGCACCATCTTTCTTTTCTTTTTCTAACAAACATTACTTATCATGGCTGGAAGAAGTAATAACTATAGTAGTAATATACATCTCTCTTTTTTTTCTTTTGTTTCTTTTGGGGGAGTTATAGACCATGGTGTTTTAAAAAAAAAATAGGATAAAGGCTCAAAGATAGGTTCTAAGAGGTAAAAGCTTCATTTTTTTTTCTTGGAGAGAATAAACTAAAAGAGGCTAAAAGGTGTATCAAAGAAAGTCTAATTTCATCTTTCAAGAATCAGTGTCATCCATTGTTTCGCCTCGAAGAACATTTAGAGCAAGTTCTAGAAATTATTGAGTATACCTTCTTGTGATAATAACATTTCTCAATTCCCTTGATCTTGTGAGTTGGAGATGCTAGTTTTGCCTTCACAAAATTAAAGTCATAGGCATGGAACTGATATGGTAATGAAAAAAAAAAACTTAATATTTGGGCACAATAGAAAGAATTTATTTTACAAATTAAAAACCTAGAGTGACACAAACATTAAGAAGAAAAAGTTTATTATAACATTATAGAAAAAAAAAATATATAGATATATATAAATACATGAAGTACTAAAAAAAATTTGAAAATTAAAAAATCTTTTTAGCTTTCAAATTTACAGTCATGGAAGAAAGCTTGAAAGAAACTGTGACCACATATATTCTATGTGCAATAGACTGAACTAGCTTTTAGACCTTATCAGTCATGGGGTCCGGGTTTAAATATAAACCAAAATTTACCTGTGCCACCATTTGAATTGCATCATTAAATGGTTAACTAACCGGTCACTTAGGCATACCGATCACCATAGTGTTGCTCCTGTGTAGGTAACTCTGTTTTTGTAGAGGCCTTCATGAGATGTTCCGATTGTACAATAATCTGGATGTTAACCAGATCAATTAGTTAATCATTTAATTACTCAAATCTATGTTGGACTTATGAGGCTCCATTGCTTCACCCTCAATGGCTACGGGTAAGGAAATTGTAGTTCTGAGTTTAATGTCGTCAGCTCGACTTATTAACATCGGAATGTATTAGGCTATCAAGGTTACTGATGGTTGTTGCTCAAAATGGCCTCCAAAATACAACTTTAGCATGTGACCATTTACCATAAATTTGTCTCCTCCATTGATCTGTTGAATTTCAATTGCCCCATATGGAGTAACATCTGTAACATTATAAGGACCTGTCCACCTAGATTTTAATTTCCCTAGAAATAACCTCAGCCTGCTATTATAAAGAAGTACTTGATCTCCAATTTTGGAACT